ACCCTCTTTCCAATGCTCTCACCCCACCCAACATGTGTACACGTGCGCTCACACACACGGTCTGGCAAGTACTTCACTAGACCTCTAGCTCCGGATCCTAGTTTTTGATTACACCTCTCACAAAACTGCCTTACCTATAAATTAAACAATGTTTTGTAGTTCTGACAAAACTACTTGCAATCATAGGTGCATTCTAATGGATTCAAAAACAGTATGTACACACAAAGAATCAACCTTATACCGCAGAGTTTTAGCTCCATTAAGCTAAGATTTGTTTTCTTTCTGGACAGCATAATCAAGATTACACAACAATTAAGGACAGGAAATTAGGAGTACCATATCAGTTATAATTGCCAGGGGAGTGGAAGCCTAACACAATGTAATTAAAGAAGTTGGAGCTTGGCCAGAAACTTGGTTTTGTGTCAGATCCAAAACTTAGTACCTCCAGCAGCGCAAAGGGAGTCCATGTGCACTCATGTGCATACTTTTCTACTGTACTAATTGACCATGGAATCCAAAAATCCAAATCCACTTAAGCACGTGCTTTATTTTAAGCAGGAATAGTCTTATTTAAATCACTTAATTTACCAGATAAAGTTTTGAAATACTCACTCTGGTGCATAGATTGGAACTCGGTGTACGGAGATTAAGGCAGTTAATACAAAAAACAAAACAAGATCTTCTGAATTCCAGGCCAGTTTTTATCACAACATTAAACTTCTGCCCTCACATCAACCTGGGGCATTAGTTTGAGATTAACTCATAATGGAATTTGCTCCTTAGATTCATTATAGACTACTCTGAACAACACAGAAGAAAGATCCCTAACAAATGCTCTTAAGCCAGAAAAAAGGAATAGGAGGTAAAGGGAATGAGTAGTCAAAATTCTCAGCAATTAGGGGTATCCAAAGGCCAATTTCCTATTGTGGAAGGGCAAATGATCTGTCCTGTTTTGGGGCATACATGTAATATGTCAAATGGTAAACTGAAGTTGTAAAGTATTTTCTATAGCTAAAGAAATACCAAAACCTTTTACAATATATAAAAAATATGGTTCTAAACCCCCCAGAATAAAATATCATATTACTTTATTTTGCAAAGAAATGCAGTCAATCAACATTTACTCATTCAGGTAAAAATGAGATCATGATCTCTGATCAGACTCTCTCATTGGAAAGGAGAAGCCTTTCAGCAGCCTAAACTTACAGTGCACCAGAACATTCAGTGCTTAGGCTTGCTGGACCAACAGCACTCAAATGCCAGGTAGTGGGTGGAATAATTAACTTTTTATTTACCACACACATAGCGAACCGTTACTTATTAATCCTGCTATTCACTTAGAGACTTGTAATATCCAAGTCAACTTAAACGGCTGATTATGCAATAGTAGTATATTTATTCCCCTTCCAACCAGAATAAGCAACAATTTGGTTATACAAGAAGCACAGGTAATGGAAAAATAAGTTACTTAGGTCTTTCTTCAGTGAAAACTTCCTTCAGCCAAAGCAAACAAGCAACATGTCCAACTATGGCAACCATATTGTTCTAAGTAATTGTTTGTGATTCAAGGTACATCTGCAGTAACATAATGAAATTTTAGTTCCAGAACAAGGTCTTACAATCCACATGCCTATCACATAACCAAGAAGTTTTATTTCTTAATAGAAAGAGATAGGACAAGAGTCAAACTTCACAAATTCTGTTCTAAATTATGGATTTTAAAGAATTAACCCCACACTATTTCTTCTAACACATTTGAAATAATGTCCTGCATTCATATTTCAAAAATGCCTCATCAATTCCAAAAAAATGGGTATTTAATAGAGTACTTAAAATCTTATAACTTAATGGTGCACAAAATAGGTATTTGTAATCAATGCGTACACTGTACAACCATTTCTTTTAAACTAACCTAGGCCACAAGGGCAAAGCTTCGTATGCTCATGTGAATCTAACTGCAGAACCAGGGTTGCAGTCCAGTGATCCAAAGTGACAGAAGCCTAAACCATGTCACCAAAGCTACCAGATTACAGGTACTCAAGTAAATATCAAACTACAATTTATCATGAATATGTAGAATGCATGCCTGCCTATGCCTAGTTTGGCAAGGATTGGAGCGTCCTTTGTCAAGTTTGACAGAGATGCAGGTGCAGGCCTGATGTCCAGAAGTTTGTCCAACTCCTCTCCTCACTATAAATTGGTTCAATAAAAGATGCCACAAAACATTCTTGCCTCTCAGACATTTCCTGAACCATCACTGCTAGGACAACACCCCACCTACTATGTTCAGTTAGTTTTAAGAGCTAAAGAAAATTAGAAAAGCTTTCTTCCAACAGCACAAACTAGATTTTCTTCCTGAATTACAACTTTATTTCCTTTCACTTCTTTCATACTAAGGAATGGAATAAAACGTATTAATTAATAGTAACAAAACAGATTACAACTTGCATCTCTGTTACTAACATGACTAGTATAAGTGGAAGCCTTAAAAATAACTTTATCTAGATATCGCTTCTATTTTGTACCTGGCAAAAGCACCGGTTCCAGCTTCTTAATCTTGGGTTCTGGAGTTATCTTCTCTTCAGCCTGAAACATGCACACAAAATAGGAACAAATGGGACTTAAACTTACGCACATGTACAAACCAGGTCTTGGCAGAATCAGAGCCCTAGTGAGCCTTAAAGGCTCTGGTGCTGGAATAGGATCCAGGTGGATGGAGCCAGAAGCATGCACATACATCTTCTTTTATTGTCATGGGTGTAAGCCAGTGGGTCTCAACATAGTTAGACTCAAGGGCACCCCTAGGAAAATGCCAGCTCTCAGCTTCCCTCATGTTTTGACTACAAAAAAACAACAGAACAATTCTTCTGTTGCAAAGAACTCAGAAAGGCTACAAAAAGTCAGATGTTTTTTAACACTATGGACTCCTACTTAAAATCTCTGGCTTTATCTTGTGAATCACATGTGGGTGTTTGCAAACCTAGTGGTGCTAATATTGTCCGGCACCCGCAGAAGGATCTCACAGCACCCCAGGCGCAGCGGCCCCTTGCTGACAATCGCTGGAGTAAGTTTACCCGTAGGGAAAAACTTGTGAAGCCAAAGCTTGATCTGTTCGGTTTAAAAGGTGCCGTAGCATTTTGTTTTTACTTCCAGAAATAAATTAAAGTACAGCACCACCAACGATGCAGAAAACTTTTGCCAAAGACCCTAATGGTTTCCACTTCCAGAGAAGGGGCTCGGCCCAGAAATACAAACCTGGAGGAGCACTTGTCACTATCGTTTCTGTTTTACTGAGAAAACGCAGAGACACCAAACATAACCAGGTTTGGACCAAAGTCCTAGGGGCTCCTGGGTCGCTACCCCTTCAACTCCTCCGCCCGCCCACCCACCCAGTCTGGACTGGAAGTGTCCCACAAGTGGCACGGGGGCGCGCTCTCCCCCGGGCCCCGGAGCCAGGAGCCGAGGTGACAGGTGAAACGTCCACCTCCACGGGACAGGCACCGGCTCCTGAAAGTCACCCGGGGTTTAAACACAGGAACGGCCCCAGCCTGCAGCAGCCCAAACAGCG